GTGTGTGTGCGCGTGCATGCGTGTGCGTGTGTGTGTTTCTTTAGTGAAGGGACAGGCCACACCCGTTAGTGTCAGGGAATGGCTTGGCCCAACCCAAGGTAGTCATGTCATTTAGTGTGGAGACTTAGGGCCTTCTTACTGTCCAGGTGACTTGAGTTCAGTTACATGAGCAGTGCATCATGCCATGTAAAGATGCCTCCATAAAACCTACACTCCGAAACTCCTCAACACCCACCATGCCACATTGTTACGTGTGGATAGTGAGAGAGTACAATAGCCCACTCCATGGGGAGGGGACAGGAAGTTTCAGATTTGGAATTCTCTCAGACCTGTCCTATATATTTTCTCTTGTGGCTTATTTTAACCTATATCCTTCTGTTTTATTTCAGAATTTGAACATGATAGCTTTTAGTGAGTTTCATGAGTGCGTCTAGTAAATTATTGAGCCTAAACATGGCTTTAGGAACCTTCCAAATTTGAAGTTGGTATCAGAATTGGGGACATTTTTTAGTCCTGCATTTTATATAAACTACAGACAGAATACGTTATTAGACAGCCTCCTGGGAAGCAGTGTGGAAGTGTCACGTAAGCGAAGAAAGATAAAATTAAGAAAGATAAAATTAAGCAAAATCAGGCAAGATGAGGGAAGAGAAAGTTTTAAGATTTGCTAGAAACATTAACTAGTTAGGAACAGGTGGAGACAGGCCCGAGAAAGGAACACGGGAGAGGTCCTGCTTGTTGCAAAGCTTGAGATGGGATGACAGTTGCCAAGAGCAGTGTTTCCCATCCACTGGTGAGGACCCGTGTGACTCAGGAGGCTAAGCTTTACCTTTGAGTGGTTTCATCAAAGTCAGGCTGTCTTCTGTCTGCTGCTTGTCTAGTGTGGGTCCTTTTTTCCAGTCCCTTTGGATCCTTTCAGGTTCATGCTGTTTGTGAGGAAGGAGCAAAGCGGAGATGAGAAGCGGAAGGAAGAGACAGTAGAGGAACAGATAAAACTGCCTTTTGTCCATTCTTAGATGGAGGAAACCGTATTTCCTTTCATGCCACTGCCGCTGTTATCTGCCATACTCCTTAATTTTTTTGTTTGCTTGCTGAATTGTGCAGTCCTAAAAGGCAAGAAATGAGTTTGTTATTTCTCTCTTATTTAGCTGGACAAAGAAGGAAAGTAGCATTGATTAAATGCCTCTTGTATGATGTGTCACATGACTTGCCAATGTCACATGTAGCCACTTAAGATTTTCCAATGTTTATATTCCATAAACACGATTTAATAAACAGATGCTTTCATACATATTAATATTTATGATTTTATAACCAAATAAAACTGATGAATCACTTTTTTTAGTGAATCCTAATTACCAGTGATTTTATATACCAACAATCATTTACAAAAATACACAAACTCTTTTTCCTTCTTAAAGCTTTGGATTCCTTTGCCTATTAAATTGTGCTGTACTTTTCCTCATCATATTTTGCCCTTATGTAATTCATTTTATATATTAACATATTTCATGAATATTGATCACCCTGTTTCTACAATAAAAGTATATATGTAAATTTAATTCCAATGCATCTCCTAGTCATTACATTGTAGTCCTCATATAGTAAAGCCATACAAATGTAGTATAAATAATTAAATAAAAAAAAATAAAATGACCAGAAATAAATCTTTTAAATGAGGTGGTGAAACTATTTCTAAAACTTTGATTCAGTTGGTTTAATCTTTCGTGGATAAATAATACTTATTGCTGCAATGAAGTAGTGTTCAGGATTGCTATGTGTATGAGTGGTACTGGGACTGAGCCCAGGATTTTGTCAACTCTAGGCAAGTGTTCTTAACTTCCCCTTCAAACCTTTTTCTGAGACAGAGTTTTGCTAAGTTTGCACACTTAGACCTGCTTCTGCCTCTTTAGTGCCAAGATTACAGGTGTGCAGACTTTACTTCTTTCCCTGTACCTTGTACTGGCCGAGCAGTCTGTTCCCATTGTTTATTGGATTGTAATAGAATTTTCAACAGTGTTGTTATTTAAACACTATCATAAAAGTCACACACCAGCTGATTATTTGATTAAGCTCTTCAGTATTATTGAAAGCAAAATTCAGAAACCACCAGGCTAGCTGATTACAGTCATAGAGACATGACATTCAGGGAGGTATACTTGGAAAAGCTCTTAAGGCTCTTGCCTTCCCCTCCCCATCCCCCAATGCTGGGCGTCAAACCTAGGACTTCATGCAAGTTAGGTGTGATCCCTTGTATTCATCTGGGTTATGAGGGATTAGCTAAATTAGGTTAATTGAGGCGAGATGTCCCATCTTGAATGTGGTAGCATTCCATGGTCTGAGGACCTGTACTGCATAAAAAGGAGAAAGCTAGCTGGGCATAAGCATTTGCCACTCTCTACTTCCTGTCTGTGGATGCAATGTGACCAGCAGCCTCACATTCCTACTGCCATGCTATCCTCAGCACAATGGACTTCTTCAAATTGTGAGTCAAGTAAACCCTTCTTCTGAAGGTTGTTTTGGAAAGGTATTTTTGTCGCAGCAATGAGGAAAGTAACTAACACTCTCTGAAAAGGGGGTTCCTAAGTAGCTGGATTATTGGTCATCATTATTGGTACTCGTTATTGGTCTTTTTCTCAGAGGCATCACGTTTGCCTGAACATTTCACAAAGTGTTGAGGAAGAGTTGATATTGTTAATTTCAGTATGGCTATGTTAAATGGTTTTTCTTGATGGATTGTTATACACAATTATAAATAAACATGTATTAAAAAATACCATTTTAAGGAGGACGTCTGATTTCCAACCTCTCTGGCAAAGCTGGTTTACTATGTGCAGCTAGAGTTTTCCTGCCTTGCCCACAGTCAGGACAAATCTCTGTCACCCGTCAGTCCCACAGCCACTCAGACCCAACCAAGTAAACACAGAGACTTATATTGCTTACAAACTGTATGGCCGTGGCAGGCTTCTTGCTAACTGTTCTTATAGCTTAAATTAATCCATTTCCATAAATCTATACCTTGCCACGTGGCTCGTGGCTTACTGGCATCTTCACATGTTGCTTGTCATGGTGGTGGCTGGCAGTGTCTCCCTCTGCCTTCCTGTTCTCTCAATTCTCCTCTCTGTTAGTCCCACCTATACTTCCTGCCTGGCCACTGGCCAATCAGTGTTTTATTTATTGACCAATCAGAGCAACACATTTGACATACAGACCATCCCACAGCATCTGTGTCAGACTTACCAGATTTGCTCTTACAATAGAAAGAGTCTGACTTCGTTTTTATTGTTTATATGTCTGCGCATCTGACTGCGTGTGCAGATGTGTGGAAATGCCTGAAGAGGCAAGTAGAAGGCAGCACTGGATCCATCCCTTGGCACTGGAGTATTTGTGAGCTGCCCAGCATGGTTGTTGGGATCCAAACTCAGGCCTTCAGGACAGAGAAACAAGCATTCCTAAACAATCTATCATCTCTCCAGGCAGACATTATTTCTCAATTAAAATAAATGTGATGATATACATGCTCCTGAAACGACTTCCCTTGCTTCATCTCTCCGCCTCCCCCCATCTCCTCCTTCCCCTTATTCTCTCTCTCTCCCCTTTTCTTCTGAGTTGAGAGTCTCACTATGTTGCCAGGGCTGTTTTAAACCCTTCACCTCAAGCGGTCCTTCTCTTTCAGCCTCATGAGTAAAAAGAAAGGAAATCAACATTACTTTTCTACATAGACCTCTGTTCCTTGTTATGGAGATAGAGAAAACATAACAGGCTTGAACAATGGAGTTGATGACCTGGAAGTGGTTGGTTGTCTGTTTCTGTGACAACCTCAAACGAAAAGTCTTTTTTATCTTCAGCAGTACAAATGAAAGATGCCTGTTATAACATTTATAGAAATCTATATTTTGTAGATAGAGAAACTGAGATAAAGGAGTGAGGTTCCTGTCTGTGGTCAGCAAGCTACTGAATAGGTGAGCTGAAAATTCCTGCTCCGTGGTGGGGTGCTTGCTGTGCATACATGAGGACCTGGTGTTTTGATCACTGTACCAGTATAACAAGCTGACTCTAGTCTCATGACCACTTGTAAAGCCAGCCCTGTGGGGACCGGAGAGAGGAGGATCTCTGGGCCTTGCTTGCTACCAGTCTAGCCGGAAAAACGCCAGCTCCAGGTTCAGGGATAGTCTGTGCCTTAAAGGAATAGAATAGAGAGAAATAGAGGAAGATAGCTGGCACCCTCCCCTGGCCACCTAATTGTGTGTGCAGGCATGTCCACTCATGCACATGTGCACATAGACCAGCTCCCCACTGACATCTACTAGCAACAGCAACCAAACCCTTCATCTGGGCCTGGTGGTGGAGGCTCATAATCCTGGTTTCTTGGGGAGGCTGAGACAAGAGGGCTACAAGATCCAAGTCTACCTGGGCTTCACAGTAGGTTTAAAGCCAGCCTGGGCTGCTTAGTGAGACCCTTTCTCATTGTGAAAGGGGAAAAAAGTGGGCCCTTCCTTAGCATGTATGTGCATATGTGTGTTTGGGGGGCACTGGGGGTGGACAGGAAAACGTGTGCCATTCTTTTTTAGTACATAGCTTGGTACATGGTAAATGTTTACTATGTAGTTAATGAATAATCACAGTGTTCTTTGAACTTTTAAAATCCTTAACTCAGGAGTTAGTAGTTAAATTTGAAACTTCAGAAGAGAGTGCCGTTACATGTGATTCACTGCAGAGGAATACTAAAGGTACCTTGTGTTTCAGTCCATGGTCACATCAATGCCTTCACGCCTGGGGTGGTGCCAGAGGAAGTGACTAGTTACAGTGAAGAGCCAGCTGCTTGGGTATTCCTGATGTTTGTCAGTCAAGTCAGAGACATACACTAGTGTCATAGTGTTCATTTGATAGAACTCAACAGATTGTGCCCTCCAGTTTGATCGGAGAACATGCAGTCAGATGAGTCTTGAGGCAAGTGTGTTTGTATGTTTGTCTGACCAGTGTGTTCTTGTGTGTTGCAGGTATTCTCTGAAACCAAATGACCAGATCTTGGCTGAAGACAAGCACAAGGAATTGTAAGTTCATTAGACCTCAGTTGTACATACTTGACTCTATGAAGTAGGTGTATGTAAGCTGCTTGATTTAAAAATTACTTACGTGCGTGCACACACACACACACACACACACACACACACACACACACACACACACACACACTATGGCTGTAATCTTAGTGGGATTAGAGTAATTTGCACTGTATAATTTGTGCTATATCAAATGTACCCCAGGGTAATTGTTTGTGATACTCATTGAAATATGTCACATTGTATTTGATTTTCCAGATTGCTGTTATGTTTGGAAACACATCACTTCTTTTTCTTTCCTTGGATAAAACACATAATTCATGGTTAATTTTGTAGTTTTATTCTGGTGCTTTTTCTAGCACTTGTTAAAGATGAATAAACATGACTCTATTTCTTTTATAGTTTTATACAAAAGCAAATACCTCTCTGTTGTTTAGAATAAAGTACTTAAAATATGAAGCCTGGATTTTTTTTTTTTAAATGTACATCTATCTTTTAGACTTCTATTTTTTTTTTTTTTTTACTTTTGAGAACTACTTACCATGGGATGCTGGGATATTTTCTTTGACATTTTTCTGCTGGAAGGTGGTATTTTAAAGATTGCCATCTGACAAGGACTGTCAGTATTTTAGTTGCAAATGATCGGTTTGGAAAATTTGAAACTTATGTCAGTCTTTTGAATAGGATTGTCTAAAGGGGGAAGCTTTAAACTTTTTATAGGGTTCTATTTTGTTTTAGTCTATTTTCCCCATTATTCAGTAAAGAAAATGCTGGTAATGTTGGATATTATATAAACAGGCAGCATCATTACTGTAAAAGGAAGAATTGGAGGACTTAATTCTAATTATATCCTTAGGTTACACTATATTACTTATTCTGTGTATCAATTAAGTCTGTATCCCATTTATAATTATATTGATTTTCAAAAGTCCCTTGGAGATTTTCTTAGTGTATCAGATACATTTTAATGTTAAAGACATTTAATTAATTAATTATAAAATTCTCACTTTGTAGTTCAGGATGACAAAGTATCACTATGCCCTGGCTACTTTTGAACTCAGAGCAACCCTCTGCCAGCCAGGCGCCGGGATGATGGGTTATGGAACAGAGCCACAACACCCTGTAGCCATTTTATCCTCATATCTAACTCATATCCCTCTGGATTTACTTAATTGAGTCTTCATCTGTATACACAGCACATAGGCACTATGTCCTGTTTGTTATGTAACATTTGAATTGTCTGCTTTTCGGTTTGTTTTAATGTTTATTTGTTAGCTGTCCAATATACAGTTCACCTCCATGTTAAGAACTTGACTAATGATTTTTTTCTTGCAATTTATTATGAAAAATAATTTCTGACATTTAATTTTACCGGATACATAAAAATGTAACTATGGAAGAATTAAACATACACTATACATTCACCCACATATTGGTTAGTAAGTTTCAGATGTCAGAAGACTTCCCCTTAAATTACTGGGTTTAATAGTTAAGAGTTTCTTGTTTTGGTTTGGTTTTTTTTTTTTTTTTTTTGCTTTTGTTCTTCTAAATTTCTTATGTTAGAATTTTGAATAAGGGAAATCATAGGTGTGACTTTTTTTTTATTTAATAAAGCCTTCTTTTTCTTCTTCCCTGTCCCTGTGGGGCGTTTTCCCCCCCCACCCCCCCCCACAGTTCCCCAGAGTTTTCTTGAGTGTGAGCAGCAGGAAATATTAGATAGAAGAATTTATTGCGGAGAATATTGCGGAGATAAACAGATAGAAAATAAAGGATAGCCTTGAGAGGGCCTGGAACCTTTTCCAACGGCCAGACTGTCTCTGCCCCAGGGTTTTTATAGAGACGCCAAAGGGTGGAGCAAAAGACCTCCTCCCCCAGCACAGCCAAGTGCAGGCCATCTCAGACACCTGCACTCAGGCCCGTGGTCCTAATCATCCTCTATTCGGACCTGCTGGGTAAAGCCATGAGGAATCCGAGAACGGGCTCCCACAGGTCCCCTTCTTTTGGCATAGACTTTCATAGCCCTGCCTAGCTTGGAACTCTCTTTGCATACTACCATGCTGGCCCTAAACTCATAGTGATCCACCTGCCTCTGCTCCTTGAGTGGGGGCATAACCATACATTACTATGCTTGGCTATTCAGTTTGTTTTTGAGGTAGATCATCATTATTGTTGCATGTGCCATTTAATTCCCTTTTTATTGCTGATTAGTATGGCTTTTTTTTTTTTTTTTTTTTAAAGACAGGGTTTCTTTGTGTATCCCTGGCTATCCTGGGTAGTATGGTATTTTTATCTGAATAGTTTATCTGTTCTTTATTGGTTAGTATTGGCAGTTGGGTGACTTTTTCTGTTTTCTGTCATGTAGTTTCTTTGACCTCTGCCCTAACAAAAACTTCCAATTGAATATGAATAGAATCTTGAATTAAAATTCATCTTCAGCTCTTCATGAAAGATGTTTATAAATAATCTCATTTTTGTCTTCAAAATTCAAATAGCTAGAATTCTCTCTGAGAAGGTAGAAATGCTAATCTAATCACCTTCTTTTGATGATTGTGTGCATGTGTTGAATTGTTGAACTTTACTATGCCCTATAAATATGAACAAATATTTTATATCTGTTGAAAAGAATAGCCCAAATCTCTTTGTGCTTAAGACTAATGCTTTAAAAAATTTGCAATATAGATACAAAGCAAATTTTATGGCTGAGAAGACAGCCCAGTGAGTAGAGAGCTTGCCTGGCAAGTGTGAATCCCTGGATCACGTGGAACATAAGTACATGGTGTCTGTGTAGTGCCCGTGCTCTGGCGGTGAGACATGAGGTGTGGATGGAATTCCCCAAAGCTTGTGGGACAGCAAGATTGTTGTGCTCAGTGGCAAACCACAGAGTGACTCTGCTTAAAACAAGATGGGTCATGATGACCAACACCCGAGGTTGTCCTCTGACCACCACATATTTCCTGTGGTATACATACACTTGCACTTAACACACATGTAAAGTACATATGTACACACGTACGTGTATATACATACACGAAAAAAATACCAAAATGTAATTATCTAATCAATGATGCATATATTATCCTATAAAACACTATTATTAATTCTTGTTTTTGTTTTATTTTGTTTTTGTTTTCGAGGCAGGGTTTTTCTGTGTAGCTTTGGAGCCTGTCCTGGAACTTGCTCTGTAGACCAGGTTGGCCTCAAACTCACAGAGATCTGCCTGTCTCTGCCTCCCAAATGCTGTGTTTAAAGGTATGCACCATACCGCCTGCCTCTATTATTGATTCTTATATTCAAAATAATCAATTCTTTATGATATTGTTAAAAAAAAAACTGGATACTATCACATTACTCACTTACCTACACTGTACCCTGATTCAGTGTATACAAACAAGCTATCAGTAACTGATAGTTGTTATTGCTTTATGTGGAATCACTGTTTTTATTAAAAATATATACTGATAGTTGGTATTGCTTTATGAGAAATAACTATTTTCTATTAAAAATTGTCTTAGTTCCCAAAATCTGATGAATCAGATTCCATAAACAGTCACTCATACTTCATGGACACTCTCTCCAACCTCTTCCTGGAAAACCCACTTGTCACACGGAAGCTATTAGTCAGCAGTGATATTTGTTTCTCCAAGCAGAATGATTTTCCTTGTTTCTACACACGGAATACTCTGCTCTAGGGGATGATTTTAAGTTAGGGAAGTAGAACAAGTACAGTTGTGATGTGATTAATCCAAAACTATGGGCTTCATGCTTCGCTCTGTGAATAATTCCATAATGGAATTGGTTATTAGTTTTCTATGGATTTTTTTTTTACTTCATTGCAATCTTAGTTTTATAAGCAGAATAACTTAAAATAAGAAAAGTGTCACATTTGTTCAATAGTTTTTTTCCTTGCTTGCGCCAGTTACTGTGTATGAGCACAACACATCTATGAAAAAGTACACCCGAGAAACAGTCTAAAGAGAGAATGGTGCATTTTGGCTCACAGACTCAGACTCAGTCCAGGGTGGCTTGGCTTCATCCCTGTAGGAGTGTGGCAAAACAGAAGATGGTATAAAGGTGTGCTAGAGGAAAGCTGCTCTGGAAGCCAGTAAGAGAGAGAGAGACAGAGATTCAGAGGGAGGTGGAGCTATGAAGGAGGGAGAGAGATCGGAGAGAGTGAGAAAGGACAGTTGCCAGGAATGAGATATTCACTTTACAGGCACACCACCTCCAACGGAGTCCCCACATCTTCCTATTTTTATCACCTCAATAATGTCATTAAATTCTTAATCTATCAGTAAGGTAGTTCATGGATTAAGACAGAGCTCCCATGATTCATTCTTGATCTGAAAGTCTTATTTTTGAATATTGCATTAAGGACCAAGCCTTCAACGAATGCCAGGGGCTGGGGAGTTGCATTTTATATCCATGCCATATCATTGTACTAGGTACCATTCAAAGATACTGTATAGTTTTTGTATATCTATCATGTCTCAGCAAAGTTATTGAAAAAGTGAAAGATAATAACTTCATTTGTAAATAAGAGACTTAAGAATAGTTTGTTTTCTTATTTTTGGACAGATCTGCAATGTAGAAGAAAGAACCATTTTTTTTTTACACAAATATATTTGTTTTATAAATATGTAAATTTTATATTGCTTTGAATATGAATAGTGTATTGAGATGTGAACCTGAAGATTCCTGTAAGAAAAGTTAATAGTTGGTAAAGTTATTACTGAAAGCTTATCCATACTACTTTATAGAAAGTAAACTTGATAGCTGATGTTTTTTCTCCACTTTGCTATACTCTACAAAGCAGGAGGAAATATCAGATATCTCTTAAAGGGACTTAGATTTATTTGCTTGACCCTTTTAGACAGATGCTAAGGTAAAGTCTAATACCCCATTTTGTCATGAATATGGCGAGAGCCATATTAATAAAGTGACCTGTTGTAGGTTAATATGCCCATTTAATGACAATACTGAGCCAGAAACTG